TTTTAATTTTTATTTTGATGTAGGCTCTTACAGTTGCTGAGGCTGGCCTCCACCTTGCACTGGTCCTGCCTCAGACTCCCTAGATACTAGAATTACAGTCATGCACCACTGCACCTGGCTAAAACTGCCATTTAAATGTTGCTAAAGGAGATGTAGACTTTCTGAATTTTCTTTTTTCTTCCTATACCCCCAATACTGAGGATTGAACACTTTGTCCCACTGCACTACATCCCATCACTTTTTTTGTTTTTTATTTTGAGAGAGGGTCTTGTTAAGTTGCCCAGGCTGTCCTCAAACTTTCGATTCTCCTGTCTCAACCTCTTGAGACTCTGGAATTACAAGCATGTACCCTGCCTGAATTACTTTTTTAAGGTTATGCTAAAATAGGAATTTGGGGAGAAAAAAGACTAATAAAAAAAAATCTAACTGAAAATACCTTATAAATTGATTTGTTTAAGACTGCTGGTTGGTTTTCTTATTATCATAGTATAACCTTCCCAAAATGAAAAGGGTTATTATTAGAATTTACCCTTATCTTACATGCTTTCTTTCTCAAAGCACCTGTTGAAGATTCTGTTTCCAGCACCATAGAAGCTAAACCTGATCCAAGAAAGGCCAAAGCTCCAGGGGTTTCCTCTAAAGTAAAGGTGTGTAAACTCAGCGTACTTAGATGTAGATTTGCTCTTGCATTTGTTTTACACATTGCATTGTCATTCTATTAGGAAAGATCATATTGTATATTGTATATAGAACATCACTACTTTTTTTTTTTTTTAATTATTTGAGATTGAACCCAGGAACACTATACCATTGAGCTATGTTTCCAGTCCATTTTAGTAAGACCCCCCCACACACACACAACAGATACCCTGCTCTCATGGTTCCTGTTATACAGATCTCTAGGGAAGATTTGCAGTAGTGAAAAGAGAAGGAAGCATATGCAGAATTGTCACTTTAGACTGATACGGATTTGCGAGAAGAATAGTAATCAGCTCTCTTCCAATTTGGCTCAGTTAAGTCATAATACTAGAAGGTGTTCTGATAGTCTAGAAGAAACACCTTTTGTCCTTATGCCAGTGGGACTTGAATCACTAATTTTTTCAATAACCATGCAGAGTTGGATGATTTAAAGAAATACATTCTTGGGTTTCATTTTTTAACTAAGCCCCAGGTAATTTTTTCATTTAATTTTTGAATCATAGCAAATTATCAGTTACTTTTATCAAAGTTCTGAGCTAGTCATTGCATTCAGACTGTTGATTATTTAATACTTACAAAAGGAAAATTATAGAAGTGTATAATAGTAGTAAATCTAAATGAAGAAAACAGTTTCATTAACTATATGCAATGGATGAAAAATTATAAGATATTACTCAGTACTCTTATTATTATACTCCCATCATAGAGTAGATAGATACTTTCTAGTCTTTCTTTAAATATATTTCAGTTGTCCATTTTTCTTCCCTCTGCTTGGGTCCTTTAGCTTTGAGTTATTTAAATGGGTAATTATCTTCTAAACTATGCACTGAAGTTGTTCTTTTCCTGTCCTTCCTTCCTTATCCTAAAATGAGCAAGTGCTTATTTTAGTATTTTGATCACAAGTGCATTGAAGTATTTTTGACTCTGTTCTAAGTGCCATAATTTTTTTTCCTGTCTTTGCAGTTTACAAACAATTTTACATAAGCAATCTCATATTTGTTTTGATTAATGACTTCAATGTTTGGACTAGAAAGAAATTCTGGCCAACTAGAAATAGTAAATTCTTGCTACATTTATACTAATAATAATTCCAGTAATGAAATTTGAATTTTGCCTTAATTTTATGTACTGTAACCCACTATTTTCTTTTCACCTGATACAAAGATTCTAAATCTTGAATTATTTTTAAAAACTACATTAGTGAATAAGCATTAAAGTGTTTCTACCAACTTTAGGAGAAGGTTCAAAGGGAGTCCAGTTATGCTTTTTTGATAGATACATTAAATAAATATAGGGAGAAATAAAAGAGATTTCTCAACTAAGTGATATGAAATGTATAAATGTCATTCAAAATATCATTAATATGAAAGATAAAAGAATATCAGGGATTTCAAGAAAGCAAAGAATTATCCAATATAAACAAAAATTGACTGTGACTCAGACTAAGAGAGGTAATAGCTTTTCCAACTATATTTCTTGCCAGCTCAAGAGCTACTGATAGTTCTAAAGAAAACAGTACAAAAACTTATTATGTGCAAGATTTTGTATCAACCGTTTCTTTCATGTTGGAATATAATGTAGAGAGATGTCTCTGGTTTTTGTAAAAATGCCCTTTTCCTGGGCAGCAACATCATATTCTGTAGAAGTGGCCTAACTAATCAATATTCCCTGAACTTTGGTTGTAGGGTATACAAGGAAAGAAAGTGCCAAGCAAAACCAGCTTAAAGGAAGATGAAGACAAATCTGGGCCTATTTTTATTATTGTTTCAAATGGAAAGGAGCAAAGAATGAAAGATGAAAAAGGATTGAAGGTAAGGAAGAGTTTTTTGCTTATCTTAGTTTTATTTTGTTACTTATAAATAGCTTTGCAGTCTGAATGAAATTCATATTTTGAAATATCTGATAATTAACTGAATCTTTTACTTATATTGTACTTTATTCTTAAAGATTACTGTACGAGAACAGTAATTGGTACAAAAAGTACTATAGGACGTAGTGCCTGTTTTTCCTCTAAGTAGAAGTAACTTTGTAGTCTTTTGCTTTTTTTTTAATCAAACATTATAAGTATTCATTTGTTTTTATTAATTGAACACATGCAATGGACTGCTTCTTTATCTTTCTTGTATGTAATGTCTTTTTTTTAATAACTTTATTTTATTTATTTATTTATTTATTAATGGGGTGCCAAGGATTAAACCCAGTGCTTCATACATACTAGGCAAGCACTCTACCACTGAGCAACAATCTTGTCCCTGTATGTAGTATTTTGAAATGAAGATTTGGTAAATATATATTTGATTAGATCAATCATTTCACTTGGGCTCAGTAGTAGATCTCTTACAGGGCATACATAAGGCCCTGGGTTTGATCCTCAGCTCCACAAAGCAAAAAAAAAAAAAAAAAAAAAAATCATTATTTTGGTTTTATTAAGTGTTTAAAATTTGTTTTTCCAAAATATGTAAATTTTTTGTTTATTACAGTATTGGGAATTAAGCTCTGGTGCTCTACCACTGAACTAATCACCAGCCCTTTTTCACTAAGTTGCTTAGAGCTTCATCATTAATTTGCTAAGGCTGGCCTTGAACTTATGATCCTCCTGCTTAGCCTTTAAGTCACTGGGATTAGTGGTGTGCACCTCTGCATCGGCTCTGTTTATATATTGTTTTTAAAAACAGAAATTCAAATGATATAACAAGTACAAAGTATAGTCTTTAAAGTATCTATGAAAAGCATGTCTTTCTTTCCTGTCTCCCACCTCAGAGAGTGTACTACTTGTTCTATGTCTTTTGCTTTTAATGATGTTTAAAATATCATAAATATTCTGTGTGTAACTTCTTTTTATTGGCACATATATATGCATATCTTCTTTATCGCCAATCCATTATGTTGAACATTTTAGGTTGTTTCTGGTTTTTGACAACTACAAGCTATGCTTCCATAAACATCTTTGAATGTAGATCTTTATGTATATATGTATTAGATACCAAAAAATGGTATGTGCTTTTTCAATTTTAATATTCAAAATTTATTGAATCCTGCAGCTGCTTTAAATAAGGCTCTCTACTTCATTTCAGTTGATTACTTTATATCCAGACTCGCTTTAATTTTTTTTTTTTTCAGGTGCTAAAGTGGAATTTTACTACCCCACGGGATGAATATATTGAACAACTCAAGACTCAAATGTCTAGCTGTGTAGCTAAATGGTTACAAGATGAGATGTTTCACTCAGACTTTCAGCATCACAATAAGGCCCTTGCTGTCATGGTTGATGTAAGTCTGCAATAGATAAATGTGCATGTATCTCAGTCATGTGAGAATACTAAGCCCTATAAAATAATCAGAGTGCCTGGAAAAAAGAAGTAGAATATACCATGTTTTTAGTTCTTATGTAATAAATAAATTTATTTCTTAGGTCTTAATTGAAGGCTTAAAAATCTAGCTTTTTTTTTCTTAAGGATGCAATAAAATTTTAAAAGTGTTTGCCTGGTAGAATTTAAAATTTTATATGGTCTCATTTGTGGGGTTTTGTTTTATTTTAAGCACTTGGAGAGTGAAAAAGAAGGTGTCATTGGTTGCCTGGATCTTATCTTAAAATGGCTTACCCTACGTTTTTTTGACACCAATACAAGCGTCCTAATGAAAGCACTGGAATATTTAAAATTGCTCTTCACCCTGCTGAGTGAGGAGGAATATCATCTTACTGAGAATGAAGCATCTTCCTTCATTCCCTATCTCATCCTCAAGGTAATATGTTGTTCTCACCCTGGGAGATTGCTTAAGCTCCCAATTGACTTCAGTTTTTGTACATTTATTCCCTTTCTTTTTCTTTTATATCCTCATGCTTTTCCTCTTTCAAGATACAGTAATGCATGATGTGGCCAAGGAATGATCTTGCTTAGCCTTTATTTTCCTTGTTGACTAGGTTGGAGAACCAAAGGATGTCATTCGTAAAGATGTTCGTGCCATCCTGAATCGGATGTGCCTTGTCTACCCAGCCAGCAAGATGTTCCCCTTCATCATGGAAGGAACCAAATCCAAAAACTCTAAGCAGAGAGCAGGTGAAGCAGACTGTTTTATTTTGTATTTTATTTATTTATTTATTTATTTATTTTGTTATGCTGAGGATCAGACCCAGAGCCTTGCTAGTTAAGTGCTCTGCCACTGAGGTATACCACCAGTCTATAAATTAAAATTGAGATGAGAGTGTCTACAACAGTGACCCCCTTGTAGAAATAGTTTGTAGACACACAAGGACATTTCTTCAGTGTCTTTGTAGTTGATGCCAACCTTTTGATTTAGACTGTGAGAGTGATGAGTTGCACACTGATGGAGTCGGTATCAGATGATAAAGACACCATTCAGTACTACCCTGGTGACAAAATCAGGTGCACAGGGGCCATCTGACTCACAGACATCTATTTCTTTCAGGAGTGCTTTCTATAATACCATTGTTTAATTGAGAAGAGGCAGAGTACAAGAAAAAACTCTAGGTAGAGCTTGAATAAGATTTTAATCTTCATGTATGCCAAAGGGAATCTTTCCTATAAAAGAGAAGTCTGTATGCCACATGCGCATTGATTCTCAGTAATCTAGTTCTTTTTCTCCCCAACAGAGTGCCTAGAAGAGCTGGGATGTCTAGTTGAGTCTTATGGCATGAATGTTTGCCAGCCAACCCCAGGAAAAGCCTTAAAAGAGATTGCTATTCACATAGGTGACCGGGACAATGCTGTACGAAATGCTGCACTCAACACCATTGTAACAGTATACAATGTACATGGAGATCAAGTGTTCAAACTGATTGGAAATGTGAGTGACTTTTCTCTGGGTGGTGTCAGCATTTTATAAAAAGTATTCCAAGGTGTCTTAGGTGCCAAGTGTCCTACAGTATCAACTATACCTAAGTTTTTCCATTTGTTAGTAAACTCGACTCATCAATGTATCCTAGAATCCAGATAGACAATTGAGGACTGTCTAATAATTGAAGGCCATTTATGCTTTGTTTTACTGGAAATCAGATTTTCTTTTCTTAGTGTTCTATTTGTACCAGTTTGCTTTAGACATAAGAGCTATTTATACATGAAGAAATCTGAGCTGGTCTAGGATTTAAATTCTACGCAGCAATCTGCTCTGTAATTTTTAATGCATTTGGTTTTTAGTTACATAGTTCCCAAGGGAGTACTTTTTAATCTACTGTTACCTGTCATATCAAAAGCATGCCAGTATTCCTAGCTATTCATGAGGCTCAGGCAGGAGGATTGTGAGTTTGAGGCCAGCCTGAACAAGATAACAAGACCCCATATTTTTTCTTTTCTTTTTTTTTTTTGTTTGTTTGTTTGTTTTTGGTGGGTTTTTTAAAATGTTTACTTTTTAATTGAAGATGGACATAATACCTTTATTTTATTTATTTTTATATGGTGCTAAGGATAGAACCCAGGACCTCGCACCTGCTAGGTGAGCGCTCAACCACTGAGCCACAATCCCAGCTCACAAGACCCCATCTTAAAAGGAAAAGGAAACATGTTGAGCCTACAGCTCCAAGCCACTTTTTCAGACACATTAGATTCTGCTTCTAACTCCTTGTTTCCTTTGAGCCAGTCAGTACTATGGCTAATACTCAGTTTTTCACTCTAGTTACCTCATCCTAGCACCATTTATATACCCTACACTTAAATTAATTTACTTATATCTAATCAAATCTTTACTGCCACCCAGTTGAAAGAGAGAAAACAGGTGGGAATTTTATAAATGACCAGAAATGAAGATTCTTGTTCATAATCAACCCAGCAAGTTAGTAGTAACAAAACAAAAACAAGGAAACTTCATCTAAGTTTTGAACTCTTAATAAAATTGTAATTAGGGGCTGGGGATGTGGCTCAAGTGCAGTAGCGCGCTCGCCTGGCATGTGTGCGGCCCGGGTTCGATCCTCAGCACCACATACAAAGAAAGATGTTGTGTCCGTCAAAAACTAAAAAATAAATATTAAAAAAATTCTCTCTCTCACACTCTCTCTTTAAAAAAAAAAATGCCCATATTGAAATTAAAAATTACACTGTAAAATAAATTTGAGTAAAAATGCATTCATGTGTGTCTCTTCTCTAAAAAAAAAAATTGTAATTATCAGTAATTTATTTTTGTATCCTTTCCTTTTTTTATAATTTCTCTTGTTGTTATAGGTAGGCAGATATTAATAGCAGTTATTTAATGATATAGTGTTTTTGAAAGTAAAATCCTAGCATAGTAGCTTCAATATAATTCTTGAATCTTCTAATTAGGTTTTTAATTATCCACATATTTTTATAGATGGATATGCTAATAAGTTAAATTTGGTCTCACAGCTTTCTGAAAAGGATATGAGTATGCTTGAGGAGAGGATTAAGCGATCTGCAAAGAGGCCCTCTACTGCACCAATGAAACAGGTGGAAGAGAAACCTCAGCGCATGCAGAACATAAGCTCCAATGCTAACATGCTACGCAAGGGACCAGCTGAAGACATGTCCTCCAAACTCAAGTATGTGGATGGAGATAGTTGTCTGGGAGCATCTCTATGGACTTAGCTTTGTGTGCTCAGAGCTTGTCCTGTAACATAATCTTGAGTTCTTGTCATTATCATGCATGACAGAGTGTCTGGATAAATGTCTTGTAACCAAATGTTTAATCTTTCAGTCTTCATTGTCTTTGTCTTTGTCTCAAAACCACTTCTAAATGGTCTTGTGCCTTCTTTCACTGCTTTTCCGTGGACAGAATTATGTATCGCACTTATAGGATGTAAGTACTGCCTGCTAATTTTCATTAGCAGGGCTCTTATATCTTTCTAACTTCTAACATGGATTCATCCCCTCTGGAGGCTGACTGGCTTAGAGTTTATAACCAAGAGAAGAGGGTATTCATAAATATCATGCCTGCCATAAAAGTCCAGTAGATAGCAGAAATGGCACCTTACTATAATGTGGCTAAAAAACTGATTTGCCTTTTTCCTTGGGTTATATTTAGTTGTGCTCGGGTTCTTGTTCTTGAAATAAGGCTAAATAAAAAGTATGCAACCCAGAATTGGCTTGGGACTCAAAATACTGCCTTCTAAGCAAGACAGCTCTATTTTGGGTTGTGTCATGAGTATAATTTTAACCAAATTGAATTTGGAAACATCACATACCTATTTTTGAGGTATAATGCTGGCCATGACCTGTTGAGTGACGATGCTTAAAAAGGGGTGACTGTCCTTCAAAGTATGCATGGACTGATGCAATGTTTATGATTAGAAAAACTTAAACACAGATTTTTATTTATTTATTTTTTTTTAGAGAGAATTTTTTAATATTTGTTTTTTAGTTTTCAGTGGACACAACATCTTTGTTTATATGTGGTGCTGAGGATCGAACCTGGGCCACACGCCTGCCAGGCGAGTGCGCTACCACTTGAGCCACATCCCCAGTCCCTTAAACACAGATTAATTTGGTGGAAAAACACCAGCCTAGTCTATATTTTTCTTTCATTTTTGCCCATACATAGTGAATCTGAATCATATAAATACACGTTATTTTCTGTTCCATATGGAATAGAACTAAGTAGAAGCTTTGTTAACTTTAGCAAATTAATTATAATATTTCTAACTTGGCTGGTAATGTAAGTACTATTAAACTTATCTACTCTCTTAGGACATTCATGAACCAGTGCAGTGTTATTGCCTAAGGTACCTTTCTTAGACTCAAGGACTTCAATCATTCAGGGGGGCTGAAACCAGAAGTTGAACATCTGTCTTGAAGCTTTGAGTGAGCTATCAGTTGTATTCTTGCCCTGTGGTTAAGAAGTCTGTCTTAGTTCAGGAGCCTCTTTTTGCTTCCTTTAGCCAAGCCCGAAGCATGAGTGGGCATCCTGAGGCAGCCCAAATGGTTCGCCGAGAATTCCAGCTGGATCTAGATGAGATTGAGAATGACAATGGTACAGTTCGATGTGAAATGCCAGAACTTGTTCAGCACAAACTGGATGACATTTTTGAACCAGTCCTTATTCCTGAACCCAAGTAAGTTCAACTTATTTAAGTATAAGCAGTTACTGATCATCAGAGGATATATCCAAAAAGAGCCCTCAGTGGAAATATGCAGTTAAAACTTCTTAGAACTGATTACTCTTTGGCTGATAGCAGTTTTTTTTTTTATTAAGACCTGGTTCTAGAGGGGAATTGCATAATTCCCACTCTTTCGAATGTTTTGTAATGGAGATTGAATTTTCCCCTTTGTTCTACTCTCTAGGATCCGAGCTGTTTCTCCACACTTTGATGATATGCACAGTAATACAGCATCCACAATCAATTTCATTATCTCCCAAGTAGCCAGTGGTGACATCAACACAAGTATCCAAGCTCTGACACAGGTAATGGGAATGCTTACAAGTAATGAGAATGATAAATTGCTCCTCAGCCAAGTCACTTTTGTCATCACTCAGTCATCACTTGCCTCAAAGGACATAGCTGTAATAAAACCTTGCATTTTTGGGGTTTTTTTGGGTTTTTTTGTTTTGTTTTGTTTGTTTTTTTTTTTTTTTAAGAGTGAGTGAGAGAGTGAGAGAAAGAGAGAGAATTTTTAATATTTATTTTTTAGTTCTCGGCGAACACAACATCTTTGTTGGTATGTGGTGCTGAGGATCGAACCCGGGCCGCACGCATGCCAGGCGAGCGCGCTACCGCTTGAGCCACATCCCCGGCCCAACCTTGCATTTTTGTAATTGCATTTATGCACAGATGCTGGAATGGGACCAGTGAGACCAGCTGTCATGGAACTTACTTAGAATTTAGTATACAGAGATAAGTCAACAAGAAGATGTCAGGTAGTAGTAACTGTTGTGTAAAAGGTAGGGTGATGGGAGAGGGACTGAATAATTTCTTAGATTGGGTGATCAGGGAAAGTCTTAATAATAGGATATGCAGATAAGAGGTAAGAACATTCCAAATGAAGGGAACAGCTAGTACACAAGGCTATAGGGTAGGAATGAGCTTTCTGTGTTCAAGAAAACAGTGGAAGATCCATGTAGATATGGGCATAGGGTGCAGGGAGTAGAATAATGGTATAGAATGAGGTTTGAGAGGCAGAGGGTGACCACTTCATATAGGGCTTTCTTGATAAGTCCAAGGGTAAGTTGTTTGGATTTTACGAATGATGGGAAACCATTAGAAAATGTTAAAGAAGCTACTGTGTGTGTGTGCACCTTATACGTGTTAATCAAACACTTTTATGCTTGTGCTGCATCCCTAACAGAAGCAACATGTTTTTAAAAAATTGTTCTCTTCTTCATCTGTTTCCCTTCCCTAATAGTCCAATCTTGAAGCTATTAGGGCAGAGCTAGATGTACACCCACAGTTGTGGTGAGTGGGTGAGAATAGGAAGCTATAGTGGCCCAGTGTGAGGATCTCAAACCCC